TTCTGCTTGTAAGTCAGGTAATCTCAACTGCTGGTCTTCTGTTTCATTTTTCTCTGGATACTTTCAAGATTTCCTCTTTGGGGCGCCTGGGTGGCTCAGTGGGTTAAGCCTCTGCCTCTGGCTTGGGTCATGACCTCAGGTCCTGGAATCGAGCCCTGCATTGGGCTCTCTGCTCAGTGGGGAGCCTGCTTCCTCCTCTCTCTCTCTGCCTGCCTCTCTGCCTACTTGTGATCCCTGTCTGTCAAATAAATAAATAAAATCTTAAAAAAAAAGATTTCCTTTTTATTTCTGGTAATCAGAAGGCCCACTATAGCATCCCTGTGTGTAGTTTTCTTTGTCATTTATCCAGCTTGGGGTTCACAGACGCTTGAATGTGACAGTTTATGTCTCTCACCAAACTGGAAATATTTTCAGCCATTAATTTTTAATTTTATTTTTTTTGTGCTCGAGTCTCTCTTCTCTAGGACACCCATTACACGTATATAAAATATTCTGATATTGTCCCACAGGTCCCTGAGACTCTGTTCATATTTTTTTTCAATCCTTCTACTCTTTATTTTTTATTTTTTTATTTAAGTAATCTCTACACCCAATGTGGGACTCAAACTCACAACCCCGAGACCGGGAGTCACACGCTCTTCATACTGAGCCAGTCAGGTACTCCCAGCTTACTCTTTATTTTATAGATTGCGTAATTTCTATTAGGCTACGTTCAAGGTCACCGACTCTCTTCTGTCATCTCCATTCTATTAAACACAGCCAGTGTTTTTATTTTGCTTTTGGGAGTTTTTTTTCCCCTGGTAATGGAGATGACAGAATATTTCAGATATATATTTCAGATATTGTATTTGGTTTTCTAGAATTCCCCCTTTGTTTCCTATGATTTCTATGTTTATCTTTTACTGAGATTTCCTATCTTCTTGCATTTATGGTAAGCCTATTTTCCTTTACATACTGAGGATGTGTGTAATAGCTACTGTAGCATCCTTGAAGTCACTCCAAACACCCTTATCACTTTAAGGTTGGTGTCTGTTGATAGTTTTAGAGTACACTGCATGATCTTGGTTCTCCATATAATCATTTTCATTGTGTGCTGGACATTGTTACTACTACGTCACAGAGGCTCTGGGCTCTGCTGGAGTCAAGCCACAGACGCTGTCTATTGGGAGCGCAAACCTCAGGCTGGTTCTTTTATCCAGAGCTGGTGTCTGTCCCACACAGGTGTGGCTCAGCGATCAGGCAGAACTTTGAGCAGAGAGCATGCACAGAATTCAGGCTCCCTCGAGCTGGCTTTCTCCTATGTGGAATTCCCTACCCACTTTCTAGTGACTGTTGTTTTCCCAAACTCTGTCCTCTGTTCTTCAGGCCAAAGAGACTGTGAATTTCTACTGGAGATAAAGGTGCTCAAACAGAAGTGCCAACTTCACCCTGGCTCAGCTTCAAAGCTACATAATGGAAGCTCGTCTGTGCCATTGACTTTTCTAAGCACGGACTTCCCTCCAGAATCTGTCCTTGTTTGTTCTCCAGGGCCTTCAAGTCATTGCTCGCTTTCTTATTTGTTTGTTCTTTTGTGTTCTGTCCAGAGCTCATAATGTTGTCTGTGAAAAGGTCAAGTCCTGTAGGCGCGATTCAGCCACACTGGAAACAGAACACTTACATATATAAAACATGACAGAAACAGTTAAGGACCCTTTGGTTCCTCTCCTCTCTGAGGAATCTGGTATGTCTCCTGCTCATTCACTTTTTTGCAAAGACATTTCTATGTATATTGTTCAAAAAGTGTAACACTGGGGCACCTGGCTGGTTCAGTGGGTGGAACACGTGACTCTTGATCTTATGGTTGTGAGTTTGAGCCCCTGGCGGGTGTAAAATTACTTAAAAATGAAATTTTTAAAAAGTGTAATACCGGGGACACCTGGGTGGCTCGGTGGGTTGGGCCTCTGCCTTTGGCTCGGGTCGTGATCTCAGGGTCTTGAGATCGAGTCCCGCATCGGGCTCTCTGCTCGGCGGGGAGCCTGCTTCCTCCTCTCCCTCTGCCTGCCTCTCTGCCTACTTGTGATCTCTCTCTGTCAAATAAATAAATAAAATATTTTTTAAAAAAGTGTAATACTGTACAATTCATGAACTGCACGTAGGATGGGGATCTTTCAGAACTTTACACAAGTGAGAACACACAGCATTTATCATTCCCTGGTTTTTTCCCCTCGTCTGGATGTACTATTCAGAGACCCACCCACGCTGGGACATACAGATCCGCCTCGTTCATGTTTACTGTTTGGTCACGTGGATGCAGCTCTTTGATCTGCCATTTCTTCTACTGACTGACGCTCGGGCTGTACCTAATCATTTGCTTGGATGAGAGAACACTGCGGTGATGCTCTTGTCCCAACCTCTTCGGTTCCCTGCCTGGACACGCGGTTGCTGGAGTGGCTTCACCTTCACCAGCTTGCTGAATTGCTTTCCGAAGTGACCGGACCAATGGGTACCTCCGCTGGCAGTGGACAAAAGTGCCCATTCCCAAAATAAGAACAGTCGTTATCTACGAGCAGGAAAATTTCAAGTGATTTTCACCTTCTCTTTCTACACTTCCTGTCACTGAGTTTCTTTTCCCTTCTGAGCAGCAGTCCTTACAACACAACAGCAGACCTTTTGTGATCAAACCAGCAGAACTTGCCCTTCCTCTCCCAACCTCTCCATGTCAGGGAAGACACCACCCTCAGCCGCCCGTGTATCTCAAGATGAGAAAGCTGGGAGGTGCCCGGACTCTCTCTTCTGTCCCCTCCTCGCACCTGCCTGTGTCCTGCGCACACTGCTTTAGCCCTAAATACGCTTCTTGGCGCATTTCTTTGCTTATCGACTCTCCAACCATTCTGCAAGCCCCTTGAGTGCGGGAAGTGCATTCTCTCATCTCTGTATCTGTGAGACTGGGGCTGCCTGGCCCACAGCAGGTGCTCGAAAGTGCACAGGGGACTGCAGAGTGGGTGCCGCCTTCTGCACTGTACCAGCGAGAAAAGGCTCGAGGAACGTACCCCGCTCACCCACCCACAGTGGCGGGGGCAGAACCCCCAGAGGCAGAACCTTCTGACTTTGAACTCCTGTGCAGGCCGAATGACTGGCCCAGGGCCACACAGCTATGACTCTCAGCTGGCGGCAGAAGTGAGGGTGCCCGGTCCTGGCTCCCCGCACTGTGACGGCAGCCTGGCTCTCTCTGGGGCGCACTGGCCACTTGCTTTCCCATCGACTTTCATGTTCTGGATGGGATTCAATAATTCATTGCGGATATCAGCTACAAATTCTGGGCAGCCTGCCTAATCTCCGGAGTCACTTAAAATCTTTGTCGTTCCTGCAAAAGTGAATGTTTGAACAATTTATTCCACACATCCTGTCAACAGAGACACCCTGGAGTCCTCATTTCCACATCACATTTCATGGTGTTACGCTGAAATGCGCCACACGTGCCTGCCACACATTAGCGCCATAATCGCTCTCCTTTGCTGTGGAACTGATGGGGAAATGGTGCTTTGATACAAGGAAGGGTGACAAGGCCACACGGTGCTAAACCTGGGATTCCGCAATTATCGCTCGCGAAAGGGAGATGGTTATCAAAGCAGCAGTAGGAAGACGTCTCCGGGCTGCCTCTCGGAGTCAGGAAATTTGAGACCTACGTTTCAGTGCCGCACGCCACACCGTAAACCTTTCTGTGGAACGCACGGACTTGATTTAATGTCGTTGTTAATTCTGCTGTTCACAGCAGTGCGCTCTTAAGGGACCCATCATTTTTATTTCAGGTTGTGTTTTGTTTTTTTTTTTCCCCTTTCCCTGGCAACAGAGCTCTGAGGCTTTTCTGGGCTTGTGCTGAACTGTGGGAGCACAGACCCCCTCCCTGGGGCAGGGGAGCACACGGTGGGCAGCTTCCCCAGAGGCTGGGGCTGCGTCTCAGCTCTCCGTGCCTGGCTGGGGCGGGTCAGAGCGGGAGGGCTGGGTTTGAAAAAATAGAAAAAGGAAGAAGAGGAAGAAAAGAATAAGGCTTTGTGGCAGAACAGGAAAGAAAGGAAACCCTGGTCACTTTCCAAGGGCATGAGGGGACCGCTCTGGTCTGGGTTAGCCGAGGGCACAGGAAGGAGCAGGACAGACAGAGCAGAGTGAGGGGCAGGGAGCAAACCAGAACCAGGCCACACACAGCAGGGACCCAGTGGACAGAGACACCTGCCCTTCACCGGCCTGTGACCCCGCATCGCCAGTCTGCTGTCCTCCAGCCTCTGACCACAAGTGACCTGACGTCACAGAGCCTTCCTCTCCCAGGGAAGACATGTTCAGTAAGCAGGAGGGACCCCCTTGCAGCACCCTGTGACCCTGAGGTACCTCCTCTGGTCTGGAGACTTGAATGGGATCAGTGTCCTTACGAACTGGACGGATGGCCAGGACCCAGGGGCGTCATGCTACAACCGCGACACAGGACGGATACATGTCAGCGAAGTCTCAGAGAAGGGAGTGGGACACGTTCCCACTCTTGGATCCAACCGATTCTCAGGGGGCGTGTCAGCCGTCCACGGACAGGTGCCGGGAGATGGCCCCAAGGTCACACGTCCCCTCCTTCAACGACAGAGAAGACGAGACAGGAGCGGCAGAGCGCACACCAGCAGGTCAGGGAGGGGAGCGAATGCCGCGGGGGTGAGAAGAGGGAGCACCTGCTCGCTCCAAGCTCCGGGATAGAGCCCGGGGCAGTCCCGGGACTCACACGGGCACCGTGGGGGTCAGCACTGTGCCCCGGGTCTGGACAGGTGGATGGGACATCTGCAGTGGACGTTTGTTCTCCGTGCCCAGCAGCCCTCCCCTCCCCCGTGCAGCAAGAGCTTGGGGCGCGTAGCATAGTGTCTGATACGTCGCCGACACTCGGTGAAGGGTGGCGGGAGGCCTGTCACATTCGGTCTGTGCCCCTGCACCCCAAACCCCTATGTTGAGCCCTAAACCCCAGGGCGGCTATAACGGAAGTGGCGGCCCTAGTGGAAGTAACTGAGGGTAAACGAGGCCATGAGAGTGGGCCTGGGTCCACGAGGGTCAGCGTCCTTTCGAGAGAAGACTGCAGGGGGCCGGCTCTGCCCCAGCAATCCCCGCCCTGCCATGTACCGACGCCGGGGGAAGGTGGCTGCGGGCAAGCCAGGAAGAGGGCTCGCACCCGAACCTGTCCGCGCAGATCTCGGGCTTCTGGACTCCAGCCCGTAAGGAAGAAACGTCTGCTGTTGAAGCCCCCAGCCTGTGTCGTGACGGTCTAAGCAGACTGACACATCGGGGATGCCAGCCCGCCCTCACCCCAGCCCAGGTAGGGGCGGGGCACCTGGCTCAGGCCCAGGCCAATCAGCATGGACCTGGCCACAGCCACGGCAGGATGGGCACGGGACCCAAGCCTGTCCAGTCAGGGTGAGTCTGGGGGCTCTGTGCTGGGAATGTGGAAGCACCTGCCTCCACCGTACCTAAGCTGGAAACCCCGCGTGGAGGGCTCAGCCCGCCGGACACTGCTGGGCTGGAACGTGACCGGGGCCTCTCAGCAGGCTGACCGCTCTACGGCCCCAAGTCTCCTCCCTCCTCATGGTCAACCTCCGCCAAACAAGTTCTCAGAGCCCTCCCACAGCGACCTCGGCCTCGGACGTGACTCCGGCTCTGGGCACCAGCCAAGGCTTGAAAGCCACACGCACTTGTGCTGCCGCCTCTGCCTGCCCAGGAACACGCCCCACTCAGCCTAGTAAGGGAACGCGGCACCTGCCGGGGAGCTGCGTCCCCAGAGCTGACCTCCCGCCAGCCCGACACCCGCCGAACCATGCCGAAGGGCCAAGAGTCAGAACCCCGGCTGTTTGCTGGAAGGTTTGCTAGCAGTTTAATGGCAAGTTCACAAAGCACAAGGAGCGTGAGAGCGTGCGCACTTGCGCGTGCGCACGCGCACGCGCACACGCACACACACACACACACACACACAACTTTGACGTGGCATTTCTCGCCCTAGTGGAGCATCCAGGCCACCGTCAGGGGCTGTGGAGACGTGGGGGGCTAGGTGGGGCCCCCAGAGGGTCTGGCACCGCCTCTGGTGAAGGGGCCGCCCCGCTGACCTGCCTTGGGTGCTGGCACTGAGCTCCCCAAGGGCCTCAGGTGCCTCAGGGGTGCTGAAGACCTTCTCGTAGTACTCGATCAGCAGTTCGGTGAACAGGTTCAGAGGCACAAGGGTGCTCAGGGAGGACGCCCCCTGCGACGGCCAGATTAAATTCAGCCCAAAGACGCATGCCAGGTTGGAGCTGTTCATTCTGTTAAAAATGCACTCCCGGGACACCTGGAGGACACACATGAGACCAGGCGAGTGACGCTGGGTTCTGGGCTAAGGCCTTGTGCAGCTAGCACCCTGCTCTGGGCCTCAGTTTCCCCGTCTGCAGAAGGAAGGGCTCGGGCTTGATGCTCGAGGGCCCCCCTGGCTCTGACAATCTATGAGCTTCTTCTGGAACCTCCTCAGCACCAGTCTTGTCTTCTACTCCAAAGGACCGGGGAGGTCCCCTTGGGGCGGGGGGCAGGGGGGTGCCTCCAGGATGGTGGGTGCAAAAGCACAGTGTTCGGTGTCACCCAGCCAGAGCATGTCTCCGATATCCACACTTTGGCCAGTGAGTCGGACACAGTCAAGACTGACCAGCACGCAGGGGTCATTGGAGGACTGGGGGCGGTGTGGGGGCAAGAGCTTGCCTTACAGCACTTAGAACCCCAAAAAGCAGGATACGTCACCCATCTTACGGATGGAGAAACTGAGGCCCAGAAGGTGCAAGGCACTTGCTCAAAGTCATATGGCCAGTAGGTGGCTGGGAGGGGGCCATCAGAGGGCATGGCCTGATCTTTTCCTTGCCTCCAGGGTCCTGGGGGTGTCCATGAATCAGAAGTAGGCAACGCAGAGCCTCGGGGGTCACAGGTGAGCACAGAACTGGGGGGGTTGGGAAGAACTGCACTGGGATCGATGAGGATGCCCAGACCGCCCAAGCCTCGTCTCTGGGAGACACGCAGCCCCGAGCCCCTGCAGGTGTCCTCCAGGGGCCAAGGCTACACAGCGCCAAGCCCCAGGGGACATATTAATGCCAGCAACATGGCAGAGGACAGAGAAATAAATCCATCTCTAGTTCATGAAAAAGTAGAAAAAAAGATGACGATCACTTAGTTTTTGGCTTCTGAGAAATAAGGTCAAGTGACAGAGAAGGAGAACGAGATAGCTTATTTTTTTAAAGTGATCTCTACGCCCAACATGGGGCTCGAACTCATGACCCCAAGATCAAGAGTGGCCTACCCTACCGAATGAGCCAGGCAGGGGTCCCCGAAGTTTATTTTTAAAACCAAGAGGTGGTTAAAAACAAAAAACAAAAAACAAAAAACAAAACAAAACAAAAAACCCAAAAAACCAAGAGGTGGTGTTTGATGGACTTCAACAGGCTACACTGGCCCTGCCCAGAGGTCCCCTCCCCTCCATTGGTCATCACATTCCCAGGCCACCTGCCAGGCAGCAGGGCTCCCGCACAAGCCCCAAAGACCCAGAGCAGGCCCCCGCCGTGGTGTCGCCATGTGGGTGGAAATGTGGCCTGCGGCTGAGAGCCCCACGGCCAAGCCAGCCTCATTCACGCCTGCACTGCACGCGGCCTACAAAGGGCCCGGAGGGATGAGTGTTCCAGGAAAGGTCGGATGACAGAGGGTCGTGGGTCTGGAAGCAAAGGGAGCGGCCCATTTGGATCTGTTGAGGTTTTCCCTGCCGACCCCAGAGACTACTACTCCCTGCCCGAGGCGCGGGGAGCTCAGCCCGGACCCCGAGCTGGGACAAGTGCTTCCCTCACTGTTCATTTTCTCACCCTGTGTAGGGGGCTGAATGGCAGCCCCACCGAACAGACGTCTACCGGGAACCTGAGGATGTGACTGACCTCAGTAGGAAAGAGGGTCCCTGCAGAGGTAATCAAGGGTGTCAAAGTGAGATCATCCTGGGTTACCCCGTGGGGCCCTACACGCAGTGACAAGCATTCTTGTAAGAGGAAGCAGGACATCTGTATAGAGAGGGGACGAGGCCGTGTGGGGACAGGCAGGAGCGAGGCGGCCACAAGCCAAGGGACACGTGAGCCACCAGGTGCTGGAAGGGGCAGGAAGGACCCTCGCCTCGAGCCCCCGTGGGAGCACGGCGCTGCACACACCTCGATTCTGGCCTTCGGGCCTCCAGGACCGTGACAACACGCTTCCATTGTCTGTAGCCGCCCAGTCGGTGGCACCGCGTTATGGAAGCCCCAGGACACATGCGCACCCTGTGACTCGCTCCTCCCTCAGGAACGGCTTGCCCCGTCTGCTCACTATGCATCGGGCTTGGTGCCCTGGCCCGGGAACCCTGTTCCTCCCTCCACAGACAGCCCGTGCGGGAGACAACACGGGAGCAGGGGACCTCAGTCAAGAAGTTCCCATCAGTAAGCGAGGGCAGCCATGTCGGGGGGCGGCAGGGGCGGGCACAGAAGCAGAGCTGTTGCCTGGTCAGGCCTTGAGGTCCTGCGAGCCACGGAGACCCCAGACCCTGCTCTGTGTGGGCACCGTGAGCAGGACAGGCCGCCTGGGCCAGGCACAGAGTTTGGGCCTCCCCGCTCCCCTGCCACCAGGGCCCCACTTTGCCCACTCACCTCATGCAGGAAGCCCATGAGGTAGCTGAGGACAGTGCGGTTGTGTTCTGGAAGGCTCTGCAGGATCTGGCGGCAGCGGGTCACCCGCAGGCTGCTCTCCACACCTACAACGGGACGGGGCTCCTCCTGAGTCCTTCCCAAGGAGACAGCATGGACGCAGGGAGGAGGACAGCTCTGAGGACAGACTGTCCCGATGTCGGGCCTGGATGCCTCACTGACGTGCGGGCCATGTGGCTGTTCCCTGCAAAGCCCCCCTTCCGAGAGCTCCAGTCCCTTCTTTACCCTGGAACTGCGGCTGTGACCTCCCAGAAAGCGCAGGAAGCCGAGTCACTCACTTCCTAGCGGGAACGGTCTAGCCCAGCGGTCCACGAACCACAGCCTGAGGGCCACAGGGCCCCCATTCGTCAGTATAGCTGGACTGACACAGAGCCACCCCCTCCGTGTGTCCATCCTCTGTGGGGCTTCTGCGGGACGGCGGAGCAGAGGATGGCAATGCGGATGGACCCACAGAGCCTGAAAGACGGTCTGGCCCTTCCCAGAAAGTTCGCCAAGCCTGCTGCAGACAGACATGAACTGTGACTCCCGTGGCTCGGGGCCCCAGGCCCTCCGGGTCTGGGTGAGGCTGTCCCAGACTCAGACCCCCCACTTTCCTCGGAATGAAACCCTCCACTGGGCTCCGTAAGCTGCGAGTCAAAGTGGATCCACAGCGACTCTGCGGTAGACACGTATGTGCACGTCCCGCTCCCCCAACACGCCCACCTCCGCTGGCCAAGCCTTGGGCAGGGCCACCGTGAACACCCTGTGCCTTCCAAACACAGCCACTGCTGAAAGGCAGGGACTTCCCTGCCTGTGAATGTTCCTGTCGGCCTCTTAATAAAAGCTCTTCTTTCGTGAACTCAAGCCCTCGTGGGTATTGTCAACGGACAGAGCCCCGTGAAGTTAATATTCCCAAGAAACCAACGAACTTGGAGGCTGCCCTCTTGGTGCCTGGACCTCAGCTTCCCAGCCTCAATGTCATCTTTCTACGAATTATGGTCCCAGAGTGGGTCCTGGTACCAGGTTCCACCTGCAGCTCTCACGACGGTCCCTTCGAGAAAGAGCCCTCGGGGATGAGCAGGAGGGGGCCACCTGCAGACTGTCACAAAGTGCTTTTTGTGGGCCATGAGCCACACCACGTGTTTTATGCACATTGAATCCTCAAAGCAACCCCCTGTTCTATACCAATGAGGAAAGTGACCTCAGAGAGGTTAAGTGACATGCCCAGGGTCATGGAGCTAACATGTGTAGACGCCCAGACTTGGAGCCAGATCTGTCCGGCTCTAAGCCAGTCCTCTTAACCTCCTCGCTGCAGACCAGACGGCTGTCCCGGCTATGACTTCCCTGTACGCTGGACCCCGCAGGCCACCCAGAAAGCCCATTCCCCCCGAGTGCATCCCGGAAAGCCTTGCTTTCATATCCCTGCAAGGAGAGACCCATCCCCTCTGAGTAGAGGTTCTAGATGAAACAGCGGACACCCAGCGAACTTTGAATTTCAGATAAACAGCAACTCTTACTTACACTAAAAAAGCAATCATTGTTGACTGGAAATTCAAATTGAGGTGAACATCCTGTATTTTATTTATTGCTGAATCCAGGCGGGAGGGGCCTCCCCCTTCATTACAGAGCCTCTGCCTCTGCGCTGTTGATTTTGGGGCTGGGGGTGGTTTGTTACACTCCGAGCTTGTGTTATTTCCATCATAATTGCTAAAAATTCTCAGCGTCTGCCCCCACCCAGCCCCACCCCCTGGTGCAAAAAGGCCAGAGGGCGTCAGTCACACCGCGAAGCCCTCCCCTCTGCCCTCCTCCTGCCAGTGCCCCCTCTGCTCTCCTTCGGGGGAAACACCGACGCCCACCTTGAGACACGCTGCCTCTGTGGGGTTCTGCCCCCGCCTTGGGTCGATGACATGCCTGTCCCTGCAGCTAGCCTGGCCGTGGTGGCCTGGCCTGGCCGTGGACACCGTGGCCCACTGTGCCAGACTGCGAGCAAACCCTACCCCCCAGACTGGCCCTCGGCGGGACCCCCAGGACAGGCACCTACTGGTGATCCCGAGAACCTGCTCATAGGCCCTGAAGGTCAGCAGCGGTTGGGGCAGCTCTCGCAGGAAGGTCTTCAGGATCACGGCGGGAACGTGGATGTCGCCATAGTCATCAAAGTTCACCGGCTTCCCTGGACAGAAAATGTCATATCTGGGTCCTGACGGGGTTGGGGATCCGGCTTCATGGGGGGCGGGGGGGGGCTCAGATGCAAATGGCTTTAAAACTCCTGTGGGGAAGAGCTTTCCTGGATCCAGGCGTGTCCCTGTCCCGGGCGTGCCCCTGTCATCTGGGGCTGGGACCGCTGCGGCCTGCCCTCCTCTGCTCTCCAGAGGCCTGGGCTATTCTGGGGCTGAGGTGGGGCGGGGCAGCCACTCTACCCTGGGATTTGGGACTCTGCAGCCCTGCAGGGTGGTGCAGGCCGGTGGGGGCAGGTGCTCAGCGCGAGGGGTCTCTGGGCGCCAGACTCACCTTGATTGTAGAGCCGCTGAATCTCGCGGATGGTGTGGACGCTGGCCGATCTCCGGAACAGGCCCTCAGTGTGGAGTCCTATGGAAGGAAGACCTCCAGGCATCTCACAGGTCCCAGCACATCAGGTTTCTGGAACATTCCATGACTTCTGCCCACACATCACCCTCCTGCGGCTGGCAGGGCATGCTCTCCAGCCGGGTTCATTCCCTCCCACCTCCATCGTCCACCAGCCCCACCTTTATTCCTCAAGCTTCTTTATTCCCCAACCCCAACTGATGGTCTACTTCTGCGGCCCCCAGGAAGGGAGACTCTCGTCAGATAGTCCTGGGGTCCAGCCCAACTGTGTTCATCCAGCTGCGTGACCTCAGAGAAAGCACATGGCCTCTCTGAGCTCCGCCGCCCTGTCCTCAGAGTAAGGCCACGAGCCCGGGATCTGAGGGCCGCAGAGAGGATCCACGGGACGAGGGACGTCCCCCTCCACGGGACGAGGCCCGCGTCCAGAAGGCTCCACAGGTGTTGCCTCCCCGTGTTCCCACTGCTGTGTCTACACGGCTGACCCATCCGGTGTGGTAGCCACTGGCTGCCCAGGGTGATGTAAATTTACATTTAAGTCGTAAAAATTAAATAAGATTAAAAATCCAGTGGCGCAGCATGGGAGGCACCTAGGAAGTGCTCGATCGGGCTGTTGGCACCAGCAGCCAGAGGCTACCACGTGGGACGGCGAACACAGAAGGCAGCCAAGTCTTACAGGATCGCACTGGGCTCCCCTCCCAATCTCTGTTCTGAAGCCGAGAGAGCTCTTCAGCATTCTACGTCCGATTCCGATCAGTCTCCACGGAGCCCTTCCCCGTCTTTGCGGTTAGTTTCCCACGGGCACCACGGACCTGCACAGTCCGGCCTCTCCTGACCCACTGCCTGCTCTGCCCCCACCTCCGGCCTCCACTCTGCCCCACACTCCTTACTACTCTCGGCCTTTGCATGTGCCGTTCCCTCTGTGTGAGTGGCTGGTCCCTCTCTTTTTCTTTTGCGAGACTGCAGTAGGGAAAGTTCTGAGATGGCTTCCAATTCCTGGACCCTGTGGTACAGACGCTTTCTTCCTGGTATTCATTCAAACACTAGTCTACGTGCTCCAGAGAAGGGACTGCAGAATTCAGGTCCAAATGGAGATTATCTGGGGCACCTGGGTGGCCCAGTGGGTTAAGCCTCTATCTTCGGCTCAGGTCATGATCTCAGGATCCTGGGATCGAGCCCCGCATCAGGCTCTCTGCTCAGCGGGGAGCCTGCTTCCCCCTCTCCATCTCTGCCTGCCTCTCTGCCTACTTGTGATCTCTGTCTGTCAAATAAATAAATAAAATCTTTTTTTAAAAATGGAGATTATCTTGGGTGGGCCTGACCTAATCAGGCAAACTTTTAAAAAGGGACCAGATTTTTCCTGGCAACAGAGTGCTGGAGCATGGAGGCTGGGATCTGACAGGTGGGAAGGTGTGTTGGTGGAGGGGGAGGGCACAGGGGAAGGGGAAAGTGTGCACCTCTACAAGAAAAAGAGCTGACAGCCCCGAGGAAACAGGCATGTCTGCATGAACTGAATTGGGCTTACAGTCTAACGAGTATGGAAGTGGATTCTTTCCCAGGGCCTCCAGGAAGGGACGCAGCCTGGCCAATGCCTAGAGTTTCGCCCTGTGAGGCCCCAAGCAGACTGGCTCCCGAGCGTCCTGACTTCTGACCTACGGAAACTTCAAGAATAAATTCATGCTGTTTGAAGCCACTAAGCTTGTGGTCACTTGTCATGCAGCAGAGGAAGCTAGTCCAGTGACCCTCGGCCCAAGTGTCCAAGCTCAGGTCCCCTGATGTCCAGGACAGCTCAACCCCGCCCGTGTGAGCACCTGGTCGTCACGAGTGTGGTGTTAACGGAGGAAAACGTCGTGGAGTCTCTTGGTTCCCACCATGAGCCCCCAGAAAAGGGGCTGGGTGTTGTGGTTACCATGGCAACCCCAGCGCCTCCATCCGGGCTCAAGACAGGGAGGCGCCCAAAGAGCACACGCTTAGTCAGGTACTCGCTCAGCAAACACACACGGAGTTCCCACTCTGCGCTGGGTTTCTCGTTCGATTTCGTACTAAAGGAACTGATAGTTTCGAACCAAGGAGACGCCCTCTCACGGTTTCTGACTCGCGGTCGTGAAGCACTATCTTCTGTGCGTTTCCGAAAGACGGAGCAGGTGGGAAGTGCCGCCAAAGTGGGGACCATTCCAAACGACCACCACAGTGTCCTCCAGCCCGAGAGGGAACACGCAGTCCTGAGCACGCCCGGTCACAGAGCACCGGGGAGCACCGGGGAATCAGCAGTGGCCCCACGTCTCATCTGATGCAGCCTGCACACCCCCACCCCCGGCACCTCACCTGCGGGTCCACCCCCCGCCGGCAGTCTGTCCCACCCACAGAACCATCTCACCGAAGGCACCCGCCCCACTGGGGAAGGCACCTGCAAAAAAGCTATCTGTCACGTCATAGTTTATGGGGGGCTCTACATGTGTCATTTAGGCCGCAGAGCAACCCCGTGCTTCAGGTACTGTTACCAACCACATTGGGCAGATGAGGAGTCAGAGGCCCAGAGAAGGTAAGTAACTGCCCAAGGTCACACAGCCAGTCCACAGTGGAGCCAGGATTCAGACCCGGACAGTCCACGTGCCTGAGCCCCGCCCGTCCTGGTCAGCCTCCCGGTGCGGCTTCCACCCCTCCAATTCCCTAGTCTGCAGGGTGCGCAGGACAGGAGTCGAGCCCCCCAGGGAGGTGCACCCAGAGGTCCTTGTGCCCCGGGCAGAAGCCAGCTCTCACTCACCTTTCTCTCTCAGGTATGTCACCGTGAACCTCAGCACAGGAGGGATGAGCTCCCCTTGATTTTTGTCCTTGAGGCTAAGGGGAAAGAAGAGGAAGTAAGTGTTTCCTGGGCCTGACAGGAGACTCTGGTCCTCTCCACGCCGCCGTGAAAACACAGGACCGAGGAGCCATGCTGGGGGAGATGCGGCCTCGGTGCTCAGAGAGTCAGTGTTCCGGGGCCAAGAGAGAGGCAGGGGTAGGAAAAAGGATAATGCGGCAGCCGAGGGCTCCAGTGAGAAGATGCCTGTGACACAGGGGAGACCTAGGGGCTGGGGGGGCTTCCCATGGGGCAACTTCTGAGTAGGCTGTGAGGGATGGGTAGGAGCCCGTGGGGGACCAAATAGGGAGGGGCGTTCCAGGCAGAGGGGAGTGCACAGGGCGGGCCCGGAGGCATGGGATTCGGCTGTGAGGACAGACCCAGGAGACCCAGACCAGATGCTGACCCATCAGACAACACGCCGGACAACACCCAGCCTCTTACTGCGCTCGTCTGAGATTTGCTACACAAGGCAACTTGAAAACACAGGTAGAAACATAAAAGAATGGCCCTCCCAGACAGACAGACACACAGACACACTCCACCCCAGGTGGTAGAGTTAGCATCTGAGGCCAGAGCCGCCCGCACCGAGCATCGCACTGCCCCCTTTCCTCCTGTGTAAAATGTTTTTCTCTCTCCTCATCTGCCAGATGTTCTCGCCCGGAAGGCAGCATCCTTGGGAGACCGTGTCGGACGGAGGGAAAGGGCTCCGAGGTCAGACACACCGGCTGGAGTCCTGCTCCGGCACATTTTAGCTGAGCAGAGCAGGGGCGTTGTTCCTCTTAGAGAACATGTTGTCCAAAGGTCAGTTAGGTCCATTTGGCTGACTGCGGTGTCCGCGTCCTCTAGACGCTGGTTTTCTACCTATCGATCGTTCAGAGCAGGGTACGGCTGACTCCGTGTGGAATTGTATCTGCTTCTTTCTTGGTTCTACTAGGTTTTCCTTCGTGTATTTAAAAACTCGGTTACTAGCCCATGCACTTTTAAATTATGTCTTCTTTATTATTATGAAATGTCCCTCTTTGTCCCTGGGCTTGTTTCTTGTTCTGAAACCCACTTGGCCTGATATTAATACAGTTACTCCAACTTTCTTTAGGTTGGTGGTTGCACGGCTTAGGTTTTCCATCCTTTCACCTTTAAAAAAAAAAAGTTTATTTAAGGGCACCCGTGTGGCTCAGTTGGTTAAGCGTCTGCCTTCAGCTTAGGTCATGATCCCGGGGTCCTGGGATCAAGCCCCACATCGGGCTCCCTGCTGAGCGGGGAGGCTGCTTCTCCCTCTCCCACTCCCCCCTGCCAATGTTCCCTCTCTTGCTGTGTCGCTCTGTCAAATAAATAAATAAGATCTTTTTAAATACATGGCACCAACAGCATCCACAGGCCTCCGAGTGCCCCACGCTCCGTGGGCAGCTGGTTTCCTGGTGTCTCTTTGCTGAAGCTCTATGTCCGGGATGAGAAGCAACAACTGAGCCGGCCGAGAGGCCCTGATGACAGCCGCTGCCTTTGTGAGTCCTGTCGTCATAGGAACATGGGTGGACACCCCCCACCCCTGTCCAAGACTTGGCTTCCCGTGTCCCTCTGGAGTAGAGTCCGGACAGTCCCCTCTGCGTCCCGGGGAGGGAGGAACATGGTGGATGGAATGAGCAGCTCTCTTCCTCCTCCTGCTTCCTTTGGGAGCCAGACAGAGCTCTGGCCCTGCCCTGAGGAGGTGGGTGGCCCGAGGCCAATCTCTCAGTCTCCCTAGCCTCTGTTTCCCCAGATGGAAAGCTGAGGTACTGGACCACCCCCGCCCCAGGAGCGGCAGTCAATGGTGAGGGATGTGGAAGGCTTGGTTATGTTCTGAGTCATATGTACTAACAATTCAAATCACTGGAATGCCAGGGCCTGAGTGGCCTCCCAGGCCAGATATGGACGGCCCGTTTCACGGGAAGACACGGGCTGGGGACACTGCAGGGACCGGCCCAAGATCTCCCAACTTGACAGCCTGAGTCTGTTCAATCCAAAGTCTGTGCTAGTTAACATTTTGGGGAGGGGTCCCCCCCGAGACCTGTAAAATAGGCCGGATGGACACTGATGAGTGGCCCAAAGACCCCCTTGCCTACAGCTTAGACCATATTTCCTCTTTCACAAGTGGGCTTTCAGGGCAGGGAGGGGCCCGGGGTCCCAGAAGTGGAGGGGTCCACTCGCAGTCACGGGGCCCCCCAGCCCAGCAATGCCTCCTCGCCCGGGCATTCAGGGTGCACAGACTCTAGCCGGGTGTCTCGTGGTGAGCAGCAGAAAGGGTCCTGGCGTTCCATTATTACTCTCGACGGCACAGAAACCGCCGCTGAGGATTTCTCCTCCATCCCTGTCCCCAGCTGCTGGCTCGGAGAGGGGCCTGCTCAGCCCACTGAGTCAGGGCGGAGAATGACCTCTGCCCAAGGGGTTCTGGATAAAAGGTGTCTCCTGGCCGGGTGAAGGGGGAGTGCCCAGGACAGCAGCAAATCCTGTCCTCCCACGACCCGCCCTGTGCATCCCCAGGTGTGCAGGCCATGGCTAGTCTCCGCAAGGGGGCACGGAACATTAAACCCACACCCTGAACTCAAGTTCCGAGGCACACGCCAGGTGCGGGGGCTCTTGGAGGCACAGTGCTCTTCCAGGCCCGCAGCCCCCAGAGGGCACCAGGGATTCCCGCGCATAATTCTCATGTGTAGCCCATCCCCTTGGGGGACATGCCTAGAGTTATTCAGAGCATGTTAAGTTCCCTGGTTTTGCACGCAAGGAACACAGAAAGGAAGAGAGACTGTAGCATTTTAGAAATAGCCTGAACAGGGAGGAACGGCTGGCCTGCCTTGCTGGGACCCAGGCTTTCCCATCCGTCCGAGACGGTCCTTCATCTCTCATTCCCCTCCTAGTTCCGAAAGCAGGACGGTGGCTGCAGCTCAGCTCACGTCACTGACCTGGGGAGGTCTCAGCCGCAGAGGGGGCCGGGAGGTCCCGGGCACCGGCAGAACTGGGGAACGCAGGCGGACACCCCAGGAACCACAGTGTGCGGAGGACCGACGTGCACCAGCATGCCCACCCACCGCCGTGACTGCGGGCTTTGTCACTGGGCCGCATTGGGACAGAAGACAAAGCAGACTCGGAAAGGGAAATTACGTTATCTGAAGCCAGAGGGCTGAGGGTTCAAATCAAAATTCGCTTCCCGAGCCCTGGACTCAGAAAGACCACAGCCTCACACTGTGGGTTGGGTGTCTGGTGGGGTTAACCCACCTCGGCACAGCTGGCCCCTTTGGGAGGTAAGGAAGAACTGGAAAATTTGCCCCCAAAACTCTAACAGGGTGGGGTTTCTAGCAAGTCAGGCCAACCCATGTGACTGAGAACCAGAGCCTGAGGACCCTATTCCCCTCCGCACAGGCCATTCCCAAAGAGTGGCAACTTCTGTTTACTGGACAGCCCGTGGCGCAGGAGACCAAAGACGAGTGAACCCAGGCACGCAGCGGAAGAGAAGGGAAAGCCGGACGCCCATCACCTCTTTCCTCATGAAAGCAGGCCCTGGCTCAGCCAAAACCTTCCGTTCTGGGAGAGACGCAGCTGGAAGAGCCACGCGTTCCTGCTTTCAGGGAACCTCTGAATCTGTCACCCCCAGATCCCAATCCTGCAGATATGAGAGGAGGAGGAGAGGTGGGGGTAGGGGGAGCACCCACCCTTCTCCCATGAGTCTGAAGATCCCACAACCCCCGTGAAGGAAAGATCCGCTCTGATCCGACACAAACTTTTGCAAAAAACAAAAGGGCCACGAAGCTAAGTCAAAGACACCACAATGGAAGGTGGCCACAGGCCCGTGTTTCTGAGGAATACAGGCACCAAGACACCCACAAAATACCAGCAAAGCAATTGAGCTACATGTGAAAAGATGATCTACCACAAACATCGTGGTTTATTCCTAGAATACAAGGTTGGATCAACACAAAAATCAATCCATGTCATCACTATATTAACAGAGGACAAAAGCAGGGGCGCCTGGGTGACTCAGTGGGTTGGGCCTCTGCCTTCGGCTCAGGTCATGATCTCAGGGTCCTGGGATGGAGCCCCGCATCGGGCTGTCTGCTCAGCGGGGGGACTGCTTTCCCCCACCCTGCCTGCTGCTCTGCCTACTTGTGATCTCTGTCCATCAAATAAATACATAAAATCTTTTAAAAACAAAAACAAAGGACAAAAGCTATGTGATCTCAATAAAGGCAAAACAGGCATACAACGCAATCTCACATCTCTTCTTGGAAAAAAGAAAAACAAGACCCGACCACTCAGCAAGCTAGGGATGGAAGGGCTTCTCCTCCAACGGCAGAGGGTGTCTATGAAAACCCTCAGCTAAGACCACATTGAATGGGGAGAAATCATAGCCACTTCCCAGTAAGAACAGGAAAAGACAAGGATGTGCGTGCTCTACCCAGTGGAGGGTCTGGTCAGTGCGATCGGGCAAGCAGAGGAAATAAAAGGCATCTGGAATGGGCAGGAAGAAGTAAAACTATTTCTATTTGCAGATGACATGATCTCGGATATAGAAAATACTCAGAAAATTCACAGAACATCTATTAGAACTAATAACTGATGTTGGGCAGCAGGATAGAAGGTCAGGGTACGAAAATCAACTACATCTATTCACTAGCAGTGAACAATCCAAAAAAAGGGAACGCAAAAAATTTCATTTACAACTGCATCGCAAAGAACAAAATACTTACATAAGTTTAACAAAAACAGGTGCAAAATACAGAGACGAGGAGCCATAAAACTTCACTGAAAGAAAAGGAAAAGATCCACCTGTGAGGAAAGACTTCTCGTGGTTCACCAACTGGAAAGTGTGGTTTGGGGAAGACGGCCGTGCTCCCCGAAGGGATCCGCAGAGACAGCACGATCTCTGCTGAAATCCCGGCTGCCTTTTTACGAAATTGACAAGCTGATTCTGAAGTTAATATGGAAATGCAAGAGACCCCAAAGAGCAAAAACCATGTCGAAAAAGAAGAACAAAGTTGGGAGACTCACATTCCCGACTTCAGAACTTAGTACCAAGCGACAGTACTAAAGACAGTGTGGAACCAACATGGGCTGATGGACGAGAATCAAGCATCTGGAGATAAACCCTCACACTCATGGGCAATTGGTTTTTGACAAGGGAGCCAAGGCAATTCGGTAGCAGAGAGAATGGTCATTTCAACAAATGGTCCTAAGTCTGTGTGGAGTCATCAGCGAAGGCTTCCTGGAGGAGGGGAAGATGAAGGAGAAATGAGAGCCGGCAAGCTGGGCAGTGGGGACTGGTTCACACGGTCTGCACACCTTGTTGCGAAGCTCCCCCAGGCCTGGAGGTAAGGAAAATATGGTTTTAGCTCCACTTACGGGGAAAGAAACTGGGGTGAGTTACGTCACTGGCTCAACTTCCCCAAGCTGGGACCTGCATCCCCTCCATTACCCAAAGGAGGCCCTCATTCACCTGCCCTCTTCCCCCTACCCCACAGCTGCCCAGAGGGAGCTGTACAGAACGCACACATGCCTTTCTCCCTCTTCGGGGATGGCGAGGAGCAAAGCTAGCTTGACTCTGTCTCCCCCTTAACATATTAACTTAATTAGCTTGTTCTAAGGTGATAGCTTTCTGTTGTGTGCTTCTGAACTTAAATCAGCAAATTAACATTTGTGAATAGGATTTGGTTATGAATTTTAATAACTTCCATTCATTCATAGTCCAAACAAATTACATATTTGGTGCTCTACCTAATATGTTTATTGCCATTTTATTGTAGTCATTTGCAATGAAACAGCATAAAATATTAATTTAAAGAGGCAATCCCATGGATTAGCTCTCAAAGTGGCACACACGGCATGTTCTTCAGAGGCTGTCCCGTGATACTCATCGTTCCCTAAAGCTGCAATGAACTGGGGGCGCCGGGCCGGCTCTGCCGGTTGAGCAGATAGATGACTCTTGGTCTCGGGGTCGTGAATTCAAGCCCCACATTGGGTGTCAAAAAAGAAGGGGCGCCTGGGTGTCTCAGTGGGTTAAGCCGCTGCTTTCAGCTCAGGTTGTGATCTCAGGGTCCTGGGATCGAGCCCCGCATCAGGCTCTCTGCTCAGCAAGGAGCCTGCTTTCCTCTCTCCTTCTCTCTCTCTCTGCCTACTTGTGATCTCTGTCAAATAAATAAATAAAATCTTTAAAAAAAAGAAAAAAGAGAAAAGTACAACGAACTGATTTTTAGTTACAACTGGCCCCAGAACCGGAGTGAACCAAGGCCTTTATAAAGGACATTTCTAACACCTGTCTTCGGTCTGCTAACGGAGAAGGCTCCAGCGTTCAGATGCTCTGTGAACACACTCTGAAAGCGTCTGTCGAGACGGAAGGCCGAGGTTGCCTCCCCTGCTCTACACTCGGGTCGATGGCGCTAGGAATCCAGGAGTCTGGTGTGTTTTTTTTATTTTTCATTTTTAAAATGTTATTGGATAATACGGAGACAGAAGTGGTTCTGAATACAATCTGAAAGGCCCTGTTGGGGTCGCCGGGCTAAGGGACGGATAACGGAAGCACCGCGGGCCTCAGGCGTGGCCACCGAGGACCCGTTACCAGCCAGCCGCTGCCCCACAGGCCAGGCTGAAAGTGAGAGGGGACAACAGAAGCCTCAGAAATACGGAGCCCACCTGGGCCCCTTGTCTGAGAGCTGAGTTCTCACAGCACCCCAGGTCGTCCCCCCGTCACTGCAGGTACATCCCCAGCTGCCTTCCCCGGTGGGCCACCAGAGTCACACCCCTGAGCTGGAGTGGGTCACACCAGCACGTTTTTACAGCGTGTAAAGAAGTAAAATCTGGTAAACGTTTGTTCCGGATATATGTGGTAACACCGTATTTGCACGGACGCTGCATTCCCCAAGTGCTTCTGAAGGTCTCTTCAAGGGAACCCGCTTGTGTGCGTGTCCGGGTGGGAGCCAGGGGTCTAGAGCCGTACCATCCTGCAGGCCAGCCGGGGACCATTTAAGTTCACATCCGTTAAAATGACATAAAGTTAGAAATTCAGGGCCTGTGCCACACTAGCCACAACAGGCAGTGCAGACCACGTCTATCATTGCAGAAAGTTCTGGAAAATGGGGCTCATCTTTAGCTGCTGAGACCCACCCAAGGTGTGGACGACTCCCACCTCCTTACCCACACCTCCTTACCCGTACCAGCCCCATCCTCGGCTCGACCCCCAGCCCCCAAGCCCCTGTGAGCCAGAGCCAGTCCCCGTGGCGTGCTCTGGGAGCCAGGTGTCTGTACCCTTTCCTCCCCCACACACTTCTTCCTGCCGGCTCTTAGCTCCCTGTGCTGCTGCAACTAATCACTCTGGACATGGCAGTTCCAAACGACAAGAGCGTACAGTCCTAGCCTTCTGCAGGTGTCAGAGGCTAAAACAGGTCGATGGGGCTGTGTTTTGTACAGAGGCTCTAGGGGAGAACCCGTTCCTTACCTCTTCCATCTCCTCAGGGTCACCTGCATTCCCTGAGGTCACTCCAGCCTCCTGCTTCCGTGCTCCTGGCTCCCCTCTGACTCTGACCCTCGCGGTGCCCCTGGGCCCACCCGGGTCCCTCCCCGTCCCAAGATCCCTCACTGAATCACCTCTGCGGAGTCTCTGTCACCATGTAAGGAGACACGATCGCAGGGACACTGACGTCCCCAGGGGCCGTGATTCTTCCCATCACACGCAGCAGCCCTCCTTCACTCCAGGCCAGGAAGAAAGAGAGGTCCTCAGCGTGTCTCCCCTGTAGCCCCACAGCCCCCACGAGAAGAGGATGAGGAGTCCGCATGCCCAGGGGCCTCAGGAGAGGCAAGTGCAAGTCCGAGGGGGCAGGTGGGGATCCCCCAGCGCCTTTGGCAGGACACCGTCCAGAGTTTCCAATGCTCAACCTTTCAGATCGCATCAAGTCGCACCAAGGGTCGTGACTGAGCAAACCACTATCCAGGACCCAGCACCACCCTCCAGACCCTGGCTTTCTACACGTTGTGCACACCAGACCCAACGGTCCCACACGGCCATCGGATAAAACACCTCCTCCGTCTGGCCTACGGCCAGCAGCAGAGGACACCAGGATGGACCAGGCGCTCCCTGCCAGGCGGTGGAGTGGGAAGGCTCCCCATCAGCCAGTCGGACATGGTGGTGAGGCAGGAGGGCCCCATACTTCACCAACAGCATCAGGGAAGCCTTCCTGCAGGAGGGGCCACTGGGTGAGTCTCAAAAGCAATGAAGTGGGCCCGGAATCCTTTACAAGGAAATGCTAATGGTCACATCCTCCAGCTCCTCCATTCCAGAAGTAAGTTAACGAGCGGAGATGGGGAGCGGCTTCAGGGTCACGCGGCTGGTAAGGAGAGAGACCAGTCAGGAAGAACAGGACACACCACGCTATGACACTAACGGTCCCCGATCGGCGTTGGACCTGACAGAAGTTCCTTTCTCACTCGGGCTCTGCGTCTGGAGTGGCAGCCATGGGAGGTGCACTGTGGTCACCCGGGGGTGCTGCCTGGCATTGCCACCAGGCTGCCGTCACCGTCAAGGCAGACGGTGAACTGGCTCCCAAAACTCCCTCCCGACGGGCCCTGCCCCACGGCCGCCCCACCTCACTGGCCGAAGCAAAGCACACAGCGTGCTTCACTTTGAGGCTGGTGGCATGCGTCCTGCCATGGCCTCAATGCCCCGAACACAGGAGAGAACCCCAGGAACCAGTCCCCTGCCCGCCACTGGGTCCCCTGCACGTGGGCAAGAACACCAGGAACCAGTCCCCTGCCCGCCACTGGGTCCCCTGCACGTGGGCAAGAACCCCAGGGACCAGTCCCCTCCCCACCGCTGGGTCCCCTGCACGTGGGCAAGAACCCCAGGGACCAGTCCCCTCCCCGCTGCTGGGTCCCCTGCACGTGGGCAAGAACCCCAGGGACCAGTCCCCTCGCCCGCCACTGGGTCCCCTGCACGTGGGCAAGAACCCCAGGAACCAGTCCCCTCCCCACCGCTGGGTCCCCTGCATGTGGGCAAGAACCCCAGGGACCAGTCCCCTCCCCACCGCTGGGTCCCCTGCATGTGGGCAAGAACCCCAGGGACCTGGTCTTCTGCCCGCCACTGGGTCCCCTGCACACATTCATGCGGACGCACTTGGAAGGAGGCGCTCCTGCCTCCAGGAAAAGAGTGCATTTCAGGTTCCCCACAGGGGTAAGCGGGACTGCTGGATATAAAGGCCTGGGGACAGCCTCCCTGGGACACGAGTGTCCGTGGTGCCCCGAGGAAACCAGCAGGTCACCTTCCAGCTCACTCACTCTGCAGACTGACGCCGAACTGCTGGGCGGGCAGAGGGGCCGCGGCGGCGGCATCATGGCAGGAGGGGGCGATCTGCCCTCGTGCAGGTTCCGGAGCTTTTCATCATACCTGGGGACACAGCGGAAGCACGGCTCTCACCTTGCAGGGGCCGGACGCCCCGGGAACTTCTGCAGGACCCGTGCCTTGTCCTTCTGCGCCCAGGCCCATACCGCCATCCCACGCGCGTGCGTGCACGTGCACACATACATGCACACACACTGTCCGCCCCTACTGCGGGTGTTCGGACCAAAGGCATAGGATAATCAAACCTCAGCAAATGCCCACTCTCTCCGCCCAACCCCGGGCCAACATTTCACCCACGTGTCTACACAAAGGCTTCCCTCTGCTGGACACACCCTTCGCCGGCCTCTGGACCCAGCCACCGGTCCCTGGGAAACTCACTTCTTCCCCTGATATCCCCTCGCCCCAAGTCCCCTCCCTAGCTGTTGTCACGGACTCCTGGCCCCTACCACCCGGGGGCAGGGTCACTCCCCACACCACCCTGTGTGCCCAGCTTCTGGTGTGCGACTTGGCGCTCAGAGCAGCTCAACGTCTCCCCACCCCTGAAAGCCTCCCCACCTCCCTGTGCAGCTCGGCGAAGGCCCTGCTCTATCCATGGAGCCCCAGACAGGGAGATGCAAAGGGCCGGGATTCCAAGACCTGCCCCTGCGTGCTGTGGTGCCAGCCGACTGCACACCCTCCTCTGCTCCCGACCCCATGGGAGAGATCCCTGCTGCCATGTAAGCTCAAGTAGCAGACACACGAACAGGCTTTCAGCAAAAGCCACCGGCCGGCTGGCATCCAGAGCACCTGCGACAGGCCCGAGAACATTGCATTCCGTACACAGCGTTATGCACATGCCTGAGAAATGCCCCCGATTCTCCGCTTAAGGCAAATGCGGTAAACACCAAGACGGAGAATAGCAGTTACCGCAGCGGCTTGTATTTTTAAATCAGTTCCCTCCGGGGGCGGGGGAAGGGCCTGGCATCCGCCAGCACAGCCCGCACAGCCCGCACAGCCCGCACAGCCCGCGGCAGCTCGGCTCCCTGAGTCAGCAGTTAGCATCCCTGCTGACGCCGCGCGTTTCGGGGCCGGATCCCTGGGCACGTGTTTGGAGGCGCACCCTTCCATGCTACGGGGTGGGGGGACCGAGGCCCGTGGGATCCCCAGGGTGTTTCCACGCCTCTCGGAACGGGTCCGACTCACCGCAGAACCTCCGGGGGGACGATCAGCTGGTCGTACTTGAGGTGTTCGCAGAGCTCGCTCAAGCCATTGAGATAGACGACTTTCTTCCCAAACTTATGACTGAAAAATTAGAAGCAGGAGAAGAAGGACGATGAGCCCAGGAGGCAGGGCCGGGGGCAGGGAGAGCAACGCGGGCGCGTCTTGTGCCGAGAGACGGTTAAGTGCTGACTCCAGTGGAAACGGGGACACGACAGAAGCCGCGGTGCGTCTGCAGATCTGCCGCTTTCCTGAGAACCAGAGGCGCCGACACTGCAGCGTCTCATCTGCATGAAAATAAAGACCTGCCTCCAGCTTGACTCTGCCATGAGTCTGCACACTCGGGCGAGGGCAGGGAGGGGCCAGGAGAGCCTGCGGTTTGGGGCGCCTTCCTGCTTGGGCACCCCATCTCTGCAAGGGTCCCGGCGCGGGGCAGGGAGCACACAAGGCACTGTCTGCCCTCTCTCCGGGACGGTGTCACCCGGGAGGCCAGCTGGGGGTGAGCACCACCATGGGGACAAGCCCCAGCCGAGTCTGCTTCCCCGCCTCTCAGGGCCTCAGCCTCCCCCGTGGGAACGGGTTCTCCCTCTGAGCGGGACTGTCTGGGAAGACGTCTGCCGTCTACACCCAGTACATACCACCTGGGACCGCTGTTACCAATGAGCCTGCTCCCCAAGCTGCGGAGCGAGGACAGGAACAGGATCCGGCGGGTGAGGGGCCCCACACCCTGCCCCACACCCGCCCCTGGTAAAGGACCGCTGCCCGCCTAGCTCCTGGTCACCGCTCCGCTGGACGGTCACCGGCACCCACGGAGCCAGACAGACTTTGTAGGCGTGACATGGGGAGGTGGGACACGTGCATATGCTGTGATGCTGTCGCCACCATCACGGCAATGAGCTGGTCCATCGTCTACAAAGTGTTCCTCGCGTCCCGTGGCTTTGTGTGTGTGGCTAGAACGCTCAACATGATATGTGTCCTCTGAACAGATTGTCGAGGGCACGACACTGAGTCGTCAACCACAACCCCACGCCCCTGGCCGGGCAGACGTCGAGAACCTCTTCCCTTGCGGCACAAGCCCAGCTGTTCCACCACAAGCCCACGGGAGGCCACGTGCCCCAACACCCAGCCACCTGCTCTTGGGGGCAGAGGGGGTCCAGGCCACTCCGCATGCACGGCTGGGCTGTGGGGGGACAGAGAGGTCAGCTTCTGAGGTGCAGGGAGGCCTCTGGGGCCAGGCCCTGCCCACGCAGGAACACCCTCCAACATTCGCTGTGTTTCCGCTGCCTGACCCCCTCCAGCAGCCAGGCATTTGCTGGTCACCAGGCCCTGGAGGTCTGGAGGGCAGATACAAGCAGAACCCTGTTTCTTGCCACTGATACCCCGGAAAAGCCTCAGGGCAGTGCACTCTGGGGGACGGCAATGGAGGTGTGTGGGCAAGCTCCGGGCCCCACCCCCCGAGGGTCAGAATCAGGAGGGGCCCGTGGACATTCTGTTGGTTCTTGGGCGCTGGAGGGCCTCTGTGCTGATCCGCTTCACTTCCAAATGAGGACTCGAGGGCTCAGAGCGGTCACGCGGCTGCCTGAAGCCACACAGCCAACAGGTGGCAGAACCCAGTCCTGACCCCAGCGCCTCCAGCCCTGATTCCTGAGGTTCTCTCCTGGCCCCACTGTATGGCCATGCCTGAGGCAGGGTAAGTGGCAGAACCACACGGGGTTGAGCTGGAAACCCCGCTGAGCCGGGACTTAACCTCTCTGAGTAGCAACCTCCTCTCCTTTGGAAGAGGGAGAAGACATGGGATCGTTTCGGGTGCTATGCACGTAAGGTGTATGAGAAGTTGTGATAAATGAATCACAAAAAGATATGAAAATTTTTTTTAGGGGCGCCTGGGTGGCTCAGCAGGTTAAAGCCTCTGCCTTCGGCTCAGGTCATGATCCCAGGGTGCTGGGATCGAGCCCCACATCAGGCTCTCTGCTCAGTGGGGAGCCTGCTTCCTCCTCTCTGTCTGCTTCTTTGCCTACTTGCCTCTCTGTCAAATAAATAAATAAATGTTTTTAAAAAAAATTTTTTTTTCTTAAAGCAACGTCAGCCGCCAGCACTGAGATCAGCTAGCGCCCCGCAGGCCGGCTTCTGAGCACTGGCAGGACCCGGTCAACAAACTCCCGCAAGGGCAGAACGACTGCGTGGCACCGCCAGCCGCACGGGAGACTAAGGCAGAGAGAGGCTGTACCTCCCGCCCAGAACACCGGGTGACCGGAGGCGGGGCTGAGACAAGCCCGAGCTCCCGAACCACTCCAGCGTCCGGGCGGCCGTGTGGCAGAGTGGGAGGGATGATTATTTCCCCAAGAACTCAGAGAGGTTTCTAGAACTGTGAGAGCTTTGCTAAGCCGAACGACACAGCCAACGAGCAGAAGAACATCTGAACTGTCTTCTCGGGCGGCCGCGTCACCAGCACGGGCTTCTCACTATGTCAAGCGCAGCACCCGTGGGCTGGTCCTGGTTAAGCAAGGGGACAGACGGACAGATTCTCACCTCCCCAGCAGGCGGGGGGCTGTGGCGGCGGGAGGGGCAGGCCGTGGGAAAACAGGCGGGGAATTCTCCAACAACGAGGAGAACTCCGGCCACGGAGGTCTCTCCTGAGGTAAACGGGAGCAGACTCAAGTCCCCGATTCCAGAAATTCTCCAAGTGGAGCCTGCAGACCCGGGAGCCACATCCGACCCCTCCCCGACGCCCCGCAGGGCCCCATGGGCCACGCTCTCTGGAAGGAGTTTTGTTGAGTCCTTGTAGTGGCCCCACCCAACCTGAGCTGGCCTTGGGGACCCCCGACACAGGTGCAGAAAGGAGGCGCTCAGGCCAGGGTGGGGTTCAAAACACCAGGTGCAAAGGTCACCAGTGGAGAGTCTGTGTTCCTATTCATGACCGTCAGCCCGTGACCCGGCACAGCCACGGGTGGACAGCGTAGCCCAGACACGTGGATGCCCCGGAGAGGAGACCTCCACGAGGCCGCCTAGGGAGAGCCGCCCCCTGCCTGCCGCCGCCCCGAACCCGCAGGATGCAGCCTCCCGCCCCCGTGAGGTTCCCGCTGAGAACGCCGTGTACCTGATGAGCGGTTTGAAGATGGTCCAGAGGACCTTGATGAAGTTGGTGGGGTGCACGACGTACAGCGCCTTCAAGTTCTTCTTGTACCTAAGGAGGGAAGCGTGAGGGGACTGCAGAGCGACACGCCCAACACCCAAAGCTGAGTAACCGCGAAGCCTAACCGGGAGCCTCAGAACCTGGGCTCCGTCCATGCAGCCGGTTCAAGCACACTGAGCCCCAAGTCGAAGGAGAGAATCAGGACCGCCTGTTCGCCTCCACCGCCCGGCATGCACGGCACACCTTACAGTCTACGGGGCAGCATCCCTACTCGCCACTCGCCACACTGGGAGGCGGGGGGCTCGCTGAGCTGCTCATGGCACTGCGGGGTACAGGGCACCCACTTAAAAACAGGGAGCTACTTAGCTCACTCGCTCCCCTCATTCCAGAATAATTCAGTCCAAGGCCAGGAGGTCGGCACCAGCCGGCGTGGAGGCAGCAGGGCGGGCAGGGTGGTCGTGGCCCCGCCTGGCATTGTGTGAGGGGAGGGGCGTGGGGTCCGCCAGGGGGACTCTGGCCAGCTCTCACCCCCTCACAAGAGCCGATGGATGGTCAGAATTTCAGGCATCTGGGGACCCAGTTGTGAAAAACAAACTAAATAGCATAAACACATAATAAGTAAATCATATTAAGCATTGAGGTAATAAATGTTCAAAACTCATCACTTTGTTATTTTACTACGTTGACTCCTTCCTGTGCCCGTGACGCTATTTGTCTGTTGCATCTGAGTAAGTCTAATAAGTCCACACTGAGTGCCGCCCCAACTCTGTGTCCAGTGGCGACACGCTGGGACCCTGAAGCTGGCCACGGTGGCTTGAGATCGGCCCACGTCCCCCAAGAGCTAGTCATCACATGTGTGCCAGGCCGCCGCCAGGCCAGCCCCAGGGTGGGGGGAGGGGCAGAGGACAAGGGAGGTGACTGGAGGCCGGGTGTGTGAGCAGGGCTTCCTCACGGGGACACACTGGGACGGGAAGGGGGTGCACAGTGGTGGGGTGGCCTGAGAAGGTAACACGACCAGCAAGTGAGCGAAGTCAGATGCCGGGCGACGGACAGGTAAGCAAGTCAGTGAGGGAGGCACGGGCAGGTCCTCGCTGGCAGAGGGGACGGGACAGATGCGGAGAGAGAGAAAGCCAGAGGAGCCCTGCTGGGCAGGAACGGCTGTAGGCACCAGGGTGAGCGCACGGTCCCCGGCAGAAACGGAGACGTGCGAATAACACCCCAACTGACCATGCACAGGGCCTGGGAGCCAGCGCCCCCGAAAGCAACGAGCACACTCCTTCCGGACCCCGGCCCTGGACTCTGCACTGAGCGGAACCAGGGCCCCTAGAGAAACGGCAGACCCCAGGGTGGGCTGAGGGCCCGGTGACCTGTGCCTGGAGCCCCGCTGGTGCTCGATTCCGGAAGGGCAGGGCTCGCTCGGCGTGACGGGACGCCTCTGAGGGTCACAGGAAGGGCACCCACGTGGCCGCATTTGAATCTGATTAAACAAGGTCATGGACTAGAACCCACTGAACGAAACAGGAACTCGCAAGTCCATACGGATGTAAGCAAGCCGAAGTGGACGCTCTTCCTTAGGGTAAACTGCCAGTACTTCCCAGCACCGTTCAGCACCCCCAGCCCCCTCAGAGTTCTCACCGGGCCGAGAACGAGCGATGGAGGCTAAGACCAGGACGTGACGCTTCAATAAGGAGCAAAGTATCTCCCAAGGAAATACTAACTAATTACAAAGAGAAAGGCTCCCGGTGCAGGGAGGGGGCCGCAGCGACTTGCGGGTGGTCCAGGGTCCCCGAGCACTGCCGCTGAGTCACTCCTGACGTGGAGGTGGCTTCCCGGAAGGGGGTCCAGCACATGTGTGGACTGGTTCCTTAAAAGGAACGGCCCAGCAGAACACTCCAGAGAACGAGGAGTCAACAGCCAAGACAAAAAGAACGCAGGACACCCACCAGGGTGCAGTGAGAGCAGGCAGAAAACCCTCGTGGTATAAATCTCACTGAACTGCATCTGGAGCTCCACTTGCATACCTCCAGTGACGGGGAACTCACTATCCCAGCAGACACTCCACTGCTGGTTTTGATGCCTAGAGTAACTGTCCTTTTCTATCCCATTGAGCCAAGGTCTATAATCCTACCTATATCCAGGACCACCTCCTGGTCCACCTTTGTGAGAAGTAGGAGACACGTGTGCCTCCTTCCATTTGATAATTGATCCGTATCGGCTCAACAGAGGGGTACCTATCATGTCCTCCTGTCGGCCTGAGCTTCTGGAAAAGTCCACTTTGAAGACGTCATTCACTTCTCCTCAAGCACTCTCCATGGTTCCCCATTGCCTCCTAAACCAAGTCTGGCGTCTTCAGCACACGCCCTGCCCTTGGCCACTTCCCTCCACTCCCTCCGTTCCCCAGCTGAATCCCCCAAGCCGGCCCTCCCACCACGAAGCCTCAGCACCCCTCACTCTTCCTCAGGTCAGCCACCTAGCAACACCCTGCCCATCCCTCCAGGGGCCGCTCAGAGGCCACCTCCTCCAGCTGGCCTCTCTGACTGCCCCAGCCTGAACACCAGCACTCACTTCCGGCCCCACCTGGCTCCTCCACCACTGACTGAGAACCTGCCCCATGCAGACCTTTTCCCACAGGCAGGGGACAAAGAGATGGGTTGGGGGTGCCGCAGCTGGGCACGGGGGGCACAAACACCCACTCTGCAGCTGCCCTGTCTGGTCAGGGACAGCGAGGCCGCAGGGAAGGGGCTGTTGATTGTCCAGGGACAATCCAGGAGAGCTTCATGGGGGAGGGGCCACTGCTGAGGCCCAGCTGCCTCCAGCTCCCCTGCAGGGCCTGGCACACAGTGTCAGGTAAATGACGGCAAAGTACGCAATAATCCTTTCCCTAAGACACAGCACAGAAAGGCAAGAAACTCCACCAAAGAGTCACAGATGATGACAGCAGGATCCAAAGGACAAGTGGCAGGCTCTGGGAGATCAGGCACTGCTGGCCAGCATCCCACCCACTCGAAGCATCAGAGGTACGACGGGCCTTTGAGAAGGAACACCCAGAGGATTCCAGGGGACCCACACGAAGGCCCGAGAGTGCAGCCCATTAGCCAAACACACTCCGAAATCGACTGTTACGCAAGACGTCGTTCAAGAAAAAATCCCCCGGTTCCATGCTGTTCCCAAGTGGTGCGGAGCATCGGGTGGGACAGGGAGACAGGGTCTCAGGTGGGTCCCAGCCCTGCCACACACCAGGTGAGGGGTACAGGGAGAGACACCTGCCCTCTGGGACCTGTGTGTCCTCACCTGCCCAGCACGCCGCCCACCTCTCCAAAAGAGACACCGGAAGGCCCTGTGCACGCCGTAAAGTGCGGAGAAAGCACAAAGGGCATCTGGAAGACAGCCACGCGGTTGTGTTTCTTTGCCACATTTCTTAGACGGAGGTCGGCCATCTAGAGTACACGGGCCACATCCGGCAGGCCCCCAACTTTTGCACAGGCTACAAGCTGAACACGGCTTTCCACAGTTAGTTGTCGGGGAAATGAGAAGAGTAACAGTTCGTGGTATGTGAAAATGACATGACATTCACAATCTGGTGTCCATCAGTCAAGTTTTCCTAGAACCCGGTTCCACGTCTGTGTGCGTGTATTATCTGGGGCTGTCCTCATGCTGCACGGCAGAACCGAGCGGTTTCAACGGAAATCTGAGGGCCCGATGGGGCACGTGGGTGGCTCAGTCATTAAGCCTCTGCCTTTAGCTTAGGTCGTGATCCCAGGTCGACCCCCTTATTGGGCTCCCTGCTCTGCAGGAAGCCCCCTTCTCTCTCTCCCACTCCCCCTGCTTGTGTTCCCTCTTTCTCTGTCTCTCTCTGTCAAATAAATACACAAAATCTTCAAAAAATTTTTTTAAATTAAAAAGAGAAAAAAAAAAAAAAGGAAATCTGAGGGCCGGCGAAGCCAAAATGTTGACTGTCTGGCCGGCCCTGCCCTTGATGAGGAAGCAGGTTAGAGGCCCTGCCAAGGGGAGGTGACCCCACGCACCCCCAGCTCCTTCAGCCTAGTTCCCCACCTCCTGTGGCACAGCCCGGACCCCTCCTAGTCCCCTGGCCCCCTCCCACAGTGGGACCCTGGAACCCGCCCCCCGCCCCCCGCCCCCACCCCCGAGGGCTCAGGCGCATACACCTCCTGTCAAAGTCCTTGTAGGCACTCCGCAGCCAGCCCAGCGACGGCTTGTTCCGGCTGTTCAGCCCGTAATGGAAGTAGACGACGGTGTAATCACTCTCCACGTACTGGTCCAGCGTGTACTTCAAGTACCTGGGCATCAAGCACAAGACCCGGTTTCGAAAATCACCTCTCACTGTCACCGAAACCAAGGACGCTTTCCCCAGAACAGAAGCCATGGTCACCCATTGGGTGCCAGCACCCAGCACCCCAGGTCACGGGGGCACCCATTCAGGGCCCCCGGGAACCCACCTGCAAGGGGCCCCACCCCCTTTTGTTAGAGGTGGCTCAGAGAGGTTGAGCCCTGGGGGTCACGGTCACACAGCTAGCAAGGGGACGTGACAGGCCCAAAAATGGCCCAGAAGAGACATCGACGGCAAATGTCTGAGCCCATGAACATGACCTGACTCGGGAAAGGGTCTTTGCAGCTGTGACTAAGGTAAGGCTCTTTCGAGGGAGAGTTTCTCCTAGATGATCTGGGCGGGCACTCAGCATGCCCCACATGTCCCGAGAGGACAGATAAAAGGGGAAATCACAGAAGGCAGCTGTGTCTGAGAAGAGAGAGGCAGAGCGGAGAGTGACGGAGGCCCCTGCCCAGGAGGGGAAGGTCTGCTGCCAGCCGGCCGACGCGAGGGGCAAGGTTCCTCTCCTGGAGGGGAGGAACGGCCCCGCCAACACCTTGGTTTCGGCCTTCCGGCTGAGAGAATAAATTTATTTCACTCACTCCATACGCAGGGATGAGTTTAGCAGCCCCGGGGGGTAAGAGAGGCCGCACCGGGATTTGAACCCAGGATGGAACCCTGCCATTCTGATGTGTCTCTAGGAGCAGGCAATTCCCGCCTTCCAGATTAGCTCCGACCGTTTTTTCTCGTCACCCTAGAGGAGAATCCTGACTGTGCTTGTTCTGTCTCGTGGCCACACGCCACAGTACAAGTCCCCAAAACTCCGCGATCGCTTCCAGCCCCAAGCCTCATCCAGCCACCTGCAGGAGGACCTCTCCGATGTCCCTCGTCTCCAATGCATAAACGTGAGGCAAAGCTGGCCTGATGTGTCCGAGGTTTGGGCTTATCTGTTGGGGAGGCAGCCCCAGTGCCCACTCTCCAGGACACTTGCTCAAACACTGCTTGGACTAAGCCCCTGGGGCAGCCTTCACTAAGGCCGTCCTTCCGTCCCCCTCACAGGCAGAAGCCAGGCTGAGGTCTCTAAGTCCACAGAGCACCTGCACCGCCCAGAACCCCTCATTTCTGCAGATGGTCGCCCTTGCGTTTCTCGACTCTCGGGAGAGGAGACCAGGAGAACGTCTACGTCGGCTCACTCGTCCACGCGGGACACATGGGCACTTCCGTGCAAGCAGGCACCCTTCCCCGGCCCAGCGTGCTCCCCGGTCCTTCCCGCGAGTGCGCCGAGCTCTCTCCCTGTCGGGGTACATCTGCTGTGCGGCGTGCTTGGCGCAGGAAGTCATTAACTAAATTACTGGTTGAGCTTCAAAGACATGGACTTATTTCTTCACTCACTGCAAAAATAGGAGCGCACATCTGGCCACAAGAAAGCTACTGCTTGGACAGGGAGAGGGAGGGTGGTGTGCGTGGTGGCAATGTTTTCCACGGAGACATGGAAGAGACAGCCTGGGCGCTTTTCCTAGCAAGACCAAGAAGCCCACGGGGCACCTTGGAGTAAATCAGAAAAAGGCGCTCCTTCCTCTGCATAGATACCCTCCAGCGCTGGGTGAGAGGAGTGGCAGCTGGATGGCAGTCCGTCGTGGTGCCTCCCTTGTGCAGTGAACAACCTACACAACTGTCCACAGAGGCTGTGCTGGCCACTTCCTTCTGGTAGTGAAGGTCTCTGAGGCGGCACAAGAGAACACACCATGCACCCATTGCTATCAGAGGTAGGTTGTTTTGTTTTTTGTTTTTTGTTCTTTTGAATTGAGATGAAATTTATAACATAGCATTAACCATTTTAAAACGCACAATTCAGTAACACTGAGTACACGCATGATGTTGTGCAACCACCACTGCCATCCAGCTCCCGAAGGTTGTCGTGGCCCAAAAGCAAGCCCACAGCCGTGAATGAGTTAATTACCCTGCCTCCTGCAACCTCCTGCTCTCTGTCTGTCCGGGGTTCTTCTGTCTTTACAAGGAAACAAATCCTAAGCACCTCCCGGGCCAGCAGTGGGCCGTCAGCGACAGCTGACCTGCAGGTCATGAGTTTGTGAAGCCACAGAAGGAATAATCTGCAAGGGACCGTGTTAACCTTGGAGGACCCCAGACGGGAGCTCTCCCTGACCCGGGACCCCCTCTCTGTGTGCCCCCCATGTGCAAGCATGCTGGAGGGGCCAGTGTGCCACGATGCAGGCGCTCCTTGCGGAATCCATGGCAGATCTCGCCCCACAGCAGCAGCAGTGCTGGCTCGAGACTCCTGAGCCCCTGGGACCAGCAGGGTTCCTGCGGTCACACTGTATCTCCCACTGCTGTCAGAAGACCCTTTCGCAGTCCAGATCGGAGGTTCCGGTCAAGGGGATTCTCACAGAACCACTACCCACAGACTCTCAATAGCTTCTGGGACCCGCTCACACTTTCCCTAGAGCTGGGGGCTCCAGGGCATGGCCCCTCAGCACTGCGCGCTGGGTAGAGAAGCGGGCCGGCTGGAGTGGTCAGAACTGGGAATGCGAGCAACACTGGGGCTGCCGTCAGGGTGCACCGACCCTCCCAGCACCTCTCACGAGGCTCGCGGGCTCCCGCCAGGAAGCAGGCATCGGAGGCAGCACGGCCAGCACATGGAGTGTGCAGACGCCAGCGGCAATGGACAGGACGGAGGCGGGTGACAGCGGCCAAGGCCGCACGCAGCTACGTGGATGGCCTTCCTTCTGAGCAGGGGAGAAGCAGACGCAGAGGGCGGGGGTCCATGTGGGAGGGAGGTCTGAAAGGGCCCCTCGGGCTGGGCTCAGAGCTTCAGACTGTGGACCTAAAGCCACCCTTGGCTGAGAAGAGCCTTAAGTCCCGCAGGTGGCTTTGGTGACCTGGAAAAAGATACGACATCCACCTGGGGACCTGCGAGTTGACCTACATTGATGAGCCTTTAACCCTGAGCATCCACTCATGCTAACGGTGAGGGAGAGGAGCATGTGTGCATGGGTGAGTGTGTGTGTGCACGGGGGTGGGGGATGGTGTGTGTGTGTGCACGGGGATGGGGGATGGTGTGTGTGTGCGCCCAGGGGTGGGAGGTGGTGTGTGTGTGTGTGTGTGTGTGTGTGTGTGCGCACAGGGTACGGGTGGTGTGTGTGCGTGCGCGTGCACACAAGGGGACCACACACACACACAGAAGGGCATGCGTGCGCACAGGCACCCATGGGACTTACTCCAGCAGACGCCTATGGTTGAGCTCGTGGGAGGGGGGCATCCGGCAACAGCTGAAGGTGATGACTCGTCTCCCGAAGCGGTCGTCCCCTGCAGGAGCAGACACAGGCATGAGCCCCACCAGCACCTAGGGCCGCCTTCTCCTGGGGCAGCCCCAGGTGTTGACGGGAAACAGAAGCCTCCCGAGCAGCCCCACCTGACCTAAGAGGCCCAGGCGGCCAGCAGCGAGCAAAGACAGCCCCTGGATGAGCGTCTGCTACGTGACGCCCTGCGTGCACCAGTCAGACCCAGGTCTCCACCAGCCCGTATGCAGGGGCACTCATTCCCCTTTACAAATGGCAGTGGGGCCTGGAGGGATGAGTCACTGGTGCACAGCGGCTCGGCGGACGGAGGGCACCTGGGCTGGAACCTAGATGCACCTGGCCTCACCCCTGGGGTCCGGCCACCCTGCCCGCCGCCTCCTCCCCATAGAATTCAAGCATCCCCGACACCCCCAGGACTCCAGGCCCTGGAGAAGGCTGGGGCGGCCTGGGGGACAGTCTCCCCTGGACTGTGAACTGGAGTCCTGGTGCTCAGTGCTGCCACTGGCGTGGCCCAGGGGACCCTGTGACTCTGCTGACACAGTGGTCCCCACCACACATGGGACAGCGTGAGGGGGGGTGCTCCCCAAGGGCCGGT